GATTATAGCATGTATTTGTCTTTGCTTGAGCATTTCTAACTGAAAGGAAACAACAACACAGTGTGGGGGTTCCCTAACCTCACTCTGAATGCTTAGAACAATGCAGACTGAGGTTTTCCCAGCAGACAGCAAACAGAATCCTGGTGGGCACATTAAGCTCTGGTTCAGATAACTCCATCTCCAAAGCCAGGACTATCAGCACTTACAACGATAAATGTGTTTATCTATGGACTTCCACCATCAGGTGAATGGTGGAATTAATTTCCCTGATGAAATTTTCACCATTCCTCAGTTGCTTTCCCTATAGTCCGAGTGGGTAGGGTGGAGGCGGGGTATCTCAGTAAGGGTGATATGTCCAGTACCCTCTGCATTTCCAGTAAAAGGAAACTGTCCCTGGAGTCCCAGGAGAGAGAAGTCAAGCAAAATCTAAAACATCAAGTCCAAGAAAGTGAACAAACAACCCAATCCAGAGCCTTTGGGTGGGGAAGTGGTAAGCCACGGAGGCACGATTTTGGGGTGCCCACTACTGCGGCAGAGTAACCAGCTGCAGATAGGGAACACAGGGCAGTGAACTTTGAAGCACAGGACTCTGTTTGCATACTAGAAGAGCATAAGTTTTGTGAGGTTTTAATAGACCTCGATATTCCAACCAACTTTCATTTCCCCGTTTTGCAGTGGCGTTAAACTAAAGAGGAACCGTTGACTTGAGGAGAAGAGTTGAAATTTCTGTTTCAGCCACTGCTTTCTTTTCCATCTTTCAGTGTGCTCGCTGGCTGCTGCTTCAAGCTGGTGTGGGGCCGGGGCTGTCAGCACCATGAGCAGCTTCAGGGCTGCCTTCGTCTTCTGGGCTGTGGTGGCCTGCGCTAGAACAGACCCGCCTCTAGAAGAGAAAGAGGAGACTGGAGTTCAAAGATGCAAGAATGCCTTGAAAATCCCTGTGCTGGAGGTCCTCCCCGGAGGGGGCTGGGATAATCTGCGCAACGTGGACATGGGACGGGTGATAGAGTTGAACTACACCCACTGCAGAACCACAGAGGATGGACAGTACATCATCCCCGATGAAGTCTTCACCATTCCTCAGAAACAGAGCAACCTGGACTTGAACTCAGAAATCCTGGAATCCTGGATGAATTACAAGAGCAGCATCTCTTCTTCCATCAACATGGAGATCTCTGTTTTTTCCAAGGTCAATGGCAAGTTCTCCACTGAATTCCAGAGGCTGAAGACCCTTCAAGTGAGGGACAAAGCTGCGACGACTCGTGTTCAGGTAAGAAACCTGATCTACACAGTCAAAATCGACCCAGCATCCAGACTCAGCTCAGGATTTATGAAGGACCTCATGGACATCTCTGACTTTCTAGCCAACAATCAGACAAGAATGGCCACCTACCTAGCAGAGCTCCTGGTCCTCAACTATGGCACCCATGTCATCACTAGTCTGGAAGCTGGAGCTATTCTCATGCAGGAGGACCATATCAAGTCCTCCTTCCTCCGGGACAGCCAGAGCAACCATGTAGGTGTGACCGCGTCTGCCGGAGTTTCCTTCTTAAACACCGTGAACTTCGAAGCATCGGTGAACGTCACCTACCAGGATGACTTGACCAAGAGCTACCTCGCAAACCGAACCAACTCCAGGGTTCAGAGCATTGGAGGGGTTCCCTTTTACCCAGGCATCACCCTCCAAACCTGGCAGCAGAGTACCACCAACCACCTGGTGGCAATCGATCGTGCTGGCCTGCCCCTGCATTTCTTCATCAAGCCGAACACGCTGCCTCAATTGCCTGGTCCCTTGGTGAATAAGCTGTCACAAACGGTGGAGACTGCTGTGAGACAGTATTACAACTTCAACACCTACCCCGGGTGTACGGATATCAACTCACCCAACTTCAATTTTCATGCCAATACAGATGATGGCTCCTGTGAGGGGAAAATGACCAACTTCTCCTTTGGTGGGATTTATCAAGAATGCACTCCACTCACAGGGAGCAAGAGCGCTTTCCTTTGCCAAAAGTTGCAGCAGAAGAATCCACTCACTGGCGATTTCTCCTGCCCTGCTGGCTACTCTGCAGTCCATCTGCTGACTCAGGTCTATGAGGAGGGCTACAGTCAGTTGGAGTGTAAGGAGAATTGCTACTTGGTCATTTTCTGCAGTACGGTGTGTGAAGATGTATTCCAGAAGTCAAAGGTTCAATTTAGGGTTTTTTGGTGCATGGTCAAGGACCAAGTCCCTGCAAACTCAGGACTTCTTTTTGGGGGCCTCTTCAGCAGTAAGAGCGTGAACCCGATGACAAATGCACAATCCTGCCCAGTTGGCTACATCCCAGTGACCCTCTTTACAAGCCTCAGCGTATGTGTTTCTCTGGACTATGAGATGGGACACAAGTTTTCTGTCCCCTTTGGTGGGTTCTTCAGTTGTGCAGTTGGGAACCCCTTGTTAAAGTCTTCTATATCCACAGATGGGGTACCCTCTCTGAAAAAGTGTCCCGAGGGCTTTAGCCAACACCTAGCTATCATCAGCGATGGATGCCAAGTGTCCTACTGCATCAAGGCTGGGGTCTTCACAGGTGGGTCCCTGCCCCCCGCCAGGCTCCCACCTTTCACCAGGCCACCCCTCCTAAGTCAGAGCACCAACACTGTCTTAGTGACAAACAGAGAGATTTCCAGATCCTGGATTAGAGACTCCAAGACCCACCGATGGAGGCTGGGGGAACCTCTGGAGCTGCGCAGAGTCATAAAAGTCATCCACGGGAACAGCGAAGGCCTGTCGGGAGGGGCAACAGCTGGGATCACAGTGGGAGTCACCACCGTCCTGGCAGCTGTCATTGCCTTGGCTATCTATGGCACCCGGAAATACAAGAGAAGGGAATACCAGTTATTCGAGGAGGAGAGGAGGAATTTGACTTCAGAGATTCTACCCCCCGAAGACTTCCCCGCCTCAGAGCTGCAGCAAAGCCCAGCTTAAATCTTCCTGGGGAAACAGTGCTGTCACCTCTGACCACAGCTTCAGGCACGTCTGTCATGTCTTCCCTCTCCACTTTTGCCTTCCTAAGTATTGAGGTGTCAATGGAACAAAAAGCAGGTATCACTTTGTGACTTCTTAATTAGGTCTCTGAGCCAGAAAATGCAATGAGCTACACGAACGGGATTGGAGGTGGGGAGAGGGAGCAATCTTGACTCTCACTAAGCAAAAGCTACCCCGGGGGATTAAAATGGAGAGGAAGTGTCTTTTCCTATATTTGTGCATGTGTCACAAGACAGGAGGGAGAAAATAGATGTCTGAATTTGGAATCTATGCATTTCGTCTGAAGTCTGCAGTGGTTTCCAATCTGGGAGCTGTCAGAGTTCCTGTAAAGCACCATCTCTATTTTGTGTTCTAAAAAGCTGTCTTGATTTTTTTATGATCCTAGAGACAGAGCCCTAGAGACACAGGAAACCCCGCTTGGCCCCTGATTTCAGCTTTGAGGGCTCTGGGTCAATGGGCTACTATCTCCCCCCAGCTCATCTGAAAGGAAAGATGTTGCCTAAACTAATTCCCCTTCTTCCAGCTGCCTTAGGATTAGGACTTCCTGAGACCAGACCACTCTTGGACTTCTGACCAGTGTCCACAAGTCCTATGAATATATTTCAACTTATAGACTTCTACTAGGAGGCCATGGGTGAAGAGATTACAGGGACACATGTAGTTAAAAAAAAAAAAAACTGCAAAAGACTCTGGTGCTCAGGGAAAATTGGGATTCTTATTCCCAACCAGCTAACTGCTGTCCTCCTCGAGATCGTCCTAGATGAGGCACTGAGGGGAGATGTCGATTTCATAGATCAAACATTATGACTTTGTGTTCTGTGCTACCAAAATATACCCCCTTCCTCTTCTGTGGATGGCCTGCACCCTTCCTGTCTTTCCATCACAAGCCTGGGTGCAGGGGCTCATGTGCACAGACACACCACATTCCAACAGTAAGTGAGAATCCACTCCAAGTATCATTTCCTCCCTAACCAAAACACTGTAGAAAGCACCAACTGCTTTACCTGGTAGAAAAGGGACAGAGGTGATCCAATCTTTGTCTTTACATGAGCTGAAAAAGGCATCCAGAGCCACTTGTGACATTTAGAGCAGCTTCAGACTGAGTTTCCTGGGGCATCTAGCAGGACGCAGGACTGCCACCTGGAAGTGTGTGGGGCTTTGCTCAACTTGAACGCCAGTATTGTCTAATTGCAGTCACCTCCACAACATCAATGCTCCTCCACATTAAAAAAAAAAAAATTACACATACATTTGCCATATCAAATGTTGCCAGTGAGTTATCTTCTATGAAGGATACTTTGTTCTCTCCTTGTTGATGTTCACAATCAAGGGTTTGAGCTGACAGCAGGCTTTTTTTTCTGAAGAGCATGTTGTCTCAGACTGTGGGAAGGTGGGAGTAAGAAAACTCATTCGTTTCCAACTGAGATAGAGAACAGATTTTTGAGCCCCTCTTACCTGACTGTCCATTCAAGGACACCAATCTCTATAACCTCTTCCCTTTACCCTGCCCCTTAAGCATTAAAATGTTTCTAAATACCTGGGTGTTTGTATGTTTCAGCTAACCTAACTTCTTTTCTGAAAATATTGACTTTATGAAATCTTTAACAATTATCCATCAGAATGGCAAAGTACAGCCAAAGGTTGCCAGACTTTAAATGCATTAACTGCCCATTGAAATCAAAGTTCTTTACAAACTTCTATTTCTATGAACAAAACTACACAGAGATGTGCATTTAAGCAGGTACTAAGGAACACTGTCCAACACTGTTCATCCATATGAAATCAGAACGTGGGATTGTGCTGTTCACATCCATCAAATCGCTTTACAACGTCAGATTCTGGGTGCAGGGCTCACACCCACAGGCTCCTGCTGTGTTTTAGCTTCCTAACAGATGATCTTAGTCTGAAGTCTGGAGAAAGACCAGTCCTGACTTCCAAGAACACCACACCCCCATGGACTATCAGAGATGGAGACAGATTTTGGTGACATTGGTGGTTCTGCATCTGCATTTTATTTTTGTGTTCTTATCAATAGTGGAATGATTAATAGTACACATTTATTTGAAAAACGGCAGTCTAGAAATGATTAAAACACACACTGTATTGTAGTCAGGTGGAGGGACATTTAAGAAGTCAACATTCATGATTTCAAAGATGACCTTTCTCCCACACGGTTCACCTTCCCATTTCCCTTGCCATGTGGTCTGTTTCTCTGGGGGAGCAAGGAGTCAAGTCAGGTCAAATGTGTGGGTAGAAAAGAAGTGGACAAAGAAAATTAGAGAAAAGAAAAGAAGTGGACAAAGAAAATTAGAGAAAAGAGACTTTCCCCTTATCTTGTGGAAGGGTTTGTGGTTGGTTACAGACCGAGGAAGTAACCCAGATGCTTCCCAGGTGCACTAGTCTGGCAAAAAGCAGAAGGCTCCCAGGAACAACTGTTTGTGGTTGTTCATTTGCCATTTATTCTTCTGCACATACACCTCATGAGCACCAGGTGGCGATGTCCTCTCAGAGTAATACCAAAGAACTTCAAAACACAGCAGTGTACACACGCGACAATCACATTTGGACATTCACCTGTCTCTTCCAGAACCCCCCCACTCAAATGCCAGGGATCACAGACAAGGAAACGGGGCCGGGGGCCTTTCTTGCACCGCAGAGGCCTTCCCCCGGTCCTCTCATGCACACAATAGTGCCATACCAGGACGAGCACTTTTGACCAAGTATAAAACCACAGACATGTTCAGTTTTTACAAAAAGGGGGAAGGGAATGAAAACACAAAGGCACACGCCACCACGTACACACCACATAACCTTTTAAAGGATGAGCATCTGAGAAGGTCTGTCTCTGATCCCGTGGGTCATCCCTGGAGACTCTGGGGCTGGTGCTAAGCCCATGAAAAGAACAGCCCGAGAGCCCCTGCTTGGGCCCAGAGCGCACAGTCGGGATTCTAGCGGGAAACACCCTGCTTCCCAGTAGTGGGCACACAGGGCTCTGCTGGCAGGCTTCTCTCGGAAACCAAGACTCTGCCTTCCCACGTTGGCACAAGATAAGGGGCAAGGGAGTGCCCACCCCCCACCGCCTTGCCTAGCACAGTGTTAGAAAGGAAATCCAAGATCCTTTCTGCCCAGAAAGCTCCACAAGAAGAGCAGCTTGAGGGTGAGGTAGCCCCTACCGAGCATCCTCAGAGAGGACGAGAAATGGGGCACAAACACATCCAAGACCTGGGGTGGGGTGGGGTGGGGGTGGGGGGCTTGAAGGCATGAAGACCCCCTCTCCAATCGGTATTGCCACTGCCTCCTGACTCCCTTATATATCATCTCCAGTCCTTGTCCTTCTGCCTGATGAAGGGTCGCCCCGCTGCCCATTTCCAGTTGTCGGAGCAGGTCTGCGTTTCTTTTCCACTCGAGCTTCCTGAATTTTCCTACACACAGGCCCTGGGTCTTGTTCCTCATCCCTGTGGCCTAGAAGCCCAGAAGATACTGGACAAGGGCAATGGTAGGACGCTTACGGGGGCTGGAAACAGCATCACAGGACGCTACCCCAGAGAAGAATCCCCGAGTTCCATCCATCCATGCAAAAGAACCCGATGCCTCTTTGGACAGGTCACAGGTGTGAGGGGGAAGAGAGGGCCCAGAGAAGCCCAGAGGATGATCTCTGGCATGTGATGACTTGGCAGTGTGACATTACACTCTGCAGGGACATCTCTGTCATTTGGTTCTAATGTTTCCTTCCTGACTGTGGTAGGAACTTATGCCCCAGGGGCAGTGAACTCAGGACCAGTCTTTTCATCTGCAATATAGCTTCCCACTGCTGGGGGAGACTGGATTAAGGGTGGCAGGAATAATTCCTCCTCTCAGAGCTCCCTCTGATGTGGCCAATTATGGTCCCTGTAGCCAAATGGGAGTAAAGAAAGACTCAGCACCAGTAAGTCCCAAGGAACTGGTGACAGGTGAATCCACTCGTCACACTTATGTCAAAGTGGCTGCAGGACTAACAGCAAGCAGCTGCAGAGCTGCTGTTATGAAACCTTGGCCTCCAGTTCTAACTTAAGTACCACTGTGGAAGGTTCTTTTGTTTCATTTTTTTTTCCAGCATCAAAAACCTTCCTAATTTTATGAAATATATATATGCATATATATGTATACGTCAAACCCCCAAAACATGAGGTATATAAATTCAAATTAGTATCCAGAGGAACTTCCCCCAAACACATAGTTCAAAGAACCCACTTTCAAAAGGGAGAATTGGGTTTCCCTTCTTGAGAAGCCCTGTTCTCCCCGATCCTCAATCCATTATTGGAGCCAAAGGCAAGAGGATGTTGAGGGGAGAGAGACAGGGTCTTGGGATACAACCCAGATGCACTTCGGACCAGAACATAATGTGGTCCCAACCCTGTTAGGAATGAACTAGAGGCTTTTACCATGTTGGAGGTCCATCTGTGGGACAGATGAGGGGCCCAGCACCATCTCTAGGCTTACCTAGCAAATTTGCACGGGTACAGATTGAAACCCTCATAAAAACAAGATTGGACGGAGGTTGGCTCTGATTCCGTCTTGAACAGAAATAGAAAAAGGTGTGGGTCCAGGTCTCACCTCCACACATCCCCCTAAGCACAATTCTACCTCCATCAGGTTGCACGTTTATCATGAGATGGATTGGCAAGAAGAGGAAAGTCCAGGGACCACACCCTGGCAGTTTCATCCCTCAGAACTAGGGTTTGGCATCTTGCAAAATAGATTTCAGGGTCATGATGGGATGGACTGTCCACCAACGCGGCCCATGACACGCACACACCCACACACACATAGGCTCGTACACAGACGGCACAGGGCCCAGCATGGGCCCCACTCACAGTGAATCCATGAAACTCGTGGAATCTTTGAGCTGGTCTGGAATGAGTTGGGCAGAAGGCTGTGGGCTCCTCTCCCTGAGGACAGTGCAGATGCCCAGTGGGACGCAGGCTCTGGTTTGATCAGAGAGGGGCTGGAAACGGCATCACAGGATGCCAGCCCAGAGAAGAATCCCAGAGTCCATCCATCCATGCAAAAGAACCCGATGCCTCTTTGGACAGGTCACAGGTGTGAGGGGGAAGAGAGGGCCCAGAGAAGCCCAGAGGACGATGGAGAGAGCTGAACCCGCTCCCAGGGGCGTCTGCCTCCCTGACCCTGTCAGCAAGAAGCACTTGCTCGCCCCACACCAAGGCATCCAGGATCTGATGTCACAGCAGTTTCGCGGTCCACCCCTTGGTGCCCCCCACCCACCTTGCACAGTGAGAGCTCTCTGCCTCAGTGGAGGAGAGAAAAGCGGAAACTCCGCTCTCAAAGCAGAGTGGAAGCAGCTAGAAGCCAGCGGAGGCCAGAGACCTCAGCTTCACAAGGCAGGGTGTGCAGCGCCACGCACTGTCCACACCCGAGTGTGCTGACCGTGCCCCCCACTTGAGGGATGGAGGGGGTGGGGATTCTTGCCTACCCAGCACCGAAAACTCCACAGGAACAGACCCAGGATGGCCATCACCCCATGTCCCCTTTTGTCGGATGAGGTTTATGAATCATGTCACCTTATGCAATCTGCCTCCCCTCCCAGTCGCGGTGGGATGGCGGATAGAGGCAGGGTGAGGGAGGATGAGGGAGTAGGGAGGGCCTGGCATCAACTTCCACCCGGACTCTCCCTGTTCCTGCCCTGTGGCCCCACAGCCCCTCCCACCCCCACGCCTCTCCAGCCTCAGTCTTTCTCCTGGGCAGTGCTGTCCTCAGAGATGCCCTGGGCAGCCAGTTCGGCCAGCACGTTATCCAGGTAATTGGCATCCGGGTAGCCATGGCCGGTGAGATTAGAGCCAAACTCTGTCTTGTGGTGCACCTCATTCCAGATGACCGTGTCAGACTCGCCCGTGGTGCTGGAGGTACCGATGGCAAAGATGAGACGGCGATCCCAGGCCACGAGGAGCAACTTGAGAACCTGGGGAGCAAAGGAAAGAGACAGAGGGCGGACTTCAGTGTCAGTCAGACCCTGTCCCCTGGGTGGTAGGATCCCCTTCAGGGTCCCAATCTCCCTGCGCCAGGAAGTCCCAAGCAATTCAACGAAAGAGAAGGAGACTTGGACTTGGAGTCAGGGAGCTATCGGTTGAATCTTGGCTCTGTCAATGAATCACTGTGACCACGGACAAATTAGAGCACCTCTCTGATGCCTAAGATCCTTATTTATAAAGTGGCAATGGTATAACCCGTCTCAAAGGTTGTGGACATCTTATGGAACACTACGAGAAAAGCATTTTCATACTAGTGCCTGGAGTATAAGACTTTAAAAAAAAAAAGGTCAGCTATCAGCATAATAGTCGCATTTTAAAACTTTGGGTCTAGGAGTCGCAGTGCTTATGATCTGAGGACTTCTACCCTTTTAATTTACCAACAACTAAGACTGTGACATATTTGTCCAGTGACATCTTAAAAAGCCCTCTGACTTCTTCCAGGCTCTCCCATACTTATCTCCCACCTGGTCCTCACACCACACGTGGAGCCAGGTCCACGGCAAGTGCTATCATCATCCCCATTTTATAGATGAGGAAGCTGTGGCCTGTGCTGGGGTTTGCAGAATGTTCCGATTCATCCAAATTCAACAAAATCTTGGTTGAGCGAGACTAACATCCTTATTCCCAGTCTCGGTCGGAGCCCTGTCCACATGAGGAAGACACCCGGAAAGATGAACTCTCCCAAACGTGGCACAGGCTGACGGCGGGGAATCGTAACAGCAATGACAGTCGTTGCTGCAGTCGGAATCTTAAATGTCCCCTAAAGGCTGTGTGCCAAAAGCTTGGTCCCCCACTGATGGTGCTGTTGGGAGATGGGAGAAACCTTCGTCCCTGGGGTCCCGTGGGACGGAGTAGGTCCCCGGAGGTGTGCTCCCTGGGAAGGTTTATTTTGTCCCCAGTCCCTCCTCTCCCCCCTCTCTCTTTCTCTCTGTGCCTCCTGGTCACCAGGAGGTCAGCAGTTTCCTTCCACCACATGCTCCCAGCCATGAGGTTCCGCCTCACCCAAGGCCCAAAGTGACAGGAGCAAGTGACAAGGGACTGAAACCATGACTCAAAACAAATCTTTCCCCCTTTCAGCTGATTGCTCTGAGGTATTCTGTCACAGTGAAGCGAAGCCAAGGAACCACCATAGTAAACTCGAAAACAGGAGCTACCCTTTCCCGAGAGGTTACTTACCCGGCGCCAGGCGTTGAGTTATACAGTGATCACAATAACTGGGATTCAGATACTCTCATCATCACACACCCCCCACCCCCGCCACCTTTTCTTTTTTAAAAAAAACAAACGAGAAAAACAGGCTCAGAAGATTAAAAAAAAAAAAATCAAAACTTGCCTTGGTCTTATAGCTAGTGGCAGGCAGCAGGGTGGGTATTGGAGGTGGACCTCAGGGCTGCCTGACTCCATGGCCCAGGGACCAAAGTATACTTTAGATAGGGATCCGTATATATTTCAAGGAGGAGGCTGCTTCTGAGTCTCAGTGGAAGGGAGGATGGGAGGTACACGTTAACAGAGAGGATGTGCAGACGCTGCTGTAAGTAAATAGGAGCCCCAGGCATGGATGATTACAACAACAGCTGCCATCACATTTTACTATGGCTGCTTTCACTGAATTCCTACAACATCCTGTCCACGCAGAGATTATTACCACTGCTGGGCAGATGAGGAAACAAGTCATTCGGACGTGAAGCTTTTGATACCAGTTTCTGCAGCTATGAGCGTGAGAACTAGGACTGGAACCCAGGCCGGTCTAGTTCCAAAGCCTGAGCTCTTACTGTGCCTCAGTCTCCAATGAGACCCACGTGAAGGACAAGGGTGGGCGACTGGAGAGATAGGAAGGTGTAAAACCACACTACAGCAGGCTTTTTATGTCACGCGGAGAGGAGTATTCTTCGTGAAGAAGAAACAACTGTTTGAATCTTATTTCTTTTTTCTTTTCTTGGAGGGGGGAGGGTACTGGGGATTGAACCCAGTGGTGTTTTACCACTAAGCTACATCCCTGGCCCCTTTTAAAAATTTCTATTTTGAGACAAGGTTTCTACGAGTTGCCCAGGCTGGCCTTGAACCTGCAATCCTTCATCTTCTATTTTTTTTTTTTTTCCTGGTGTTTCCTGGTATTGGGGATTAAAGCCAGGAGCATTTAACCACTGAGCCACATCCCCAGCTCTTTTAAAATATTTTACTTAGAGACAGGGGCTTGCTGAGTTACTTAGGGCCTCACTAAGCTGAGGCTAGCTTTGAACTCGAGATCCTCCTGCCTCAGCCTCTAGAGCTGCTGGGATTACAGGCATGTGCCCCTGCACCCCACTTCTGCCTCAGCTTCTGGAACACTGGGATTACAGGTAGGTACCACTGTACCCAGTTTGAATCTTATTTCTTTTTAAACAAAGGTGTTTGGTGCTGGGAATTATGTTTTGGGATGACTAAACTGGTGGCGTTGCAAGATGAAGAAGCATTAACCAGGTTGGTGGTAGCAGGTTTATAAAAGGAATCGAGTGGTTTAGAAGGCAGTTCAGGGAGCTAAGTGGATGCAGTGGATAAGAGGGAGGGCCCAAGAAGACCAGTGTGTCCAGTCTGGCTCCTGGGAGTTCAGGGCGTGTCGTCAACATAAGAGAGTCCTGCAGGCAGAGCAGCTTTGGGGAACATGGTTCTAGTTTGAACAGCAGGACTTTACAGGTAGAGACATTGAGCCAGCCGTTGAGACGCAGATCTCAGGCTCAGGCACAAAAATTTGGATCCTCAAGAAAAACAGGCATCAGGCCTAGTCCTGATTCTTAATCTGGGAACACTTGACCGGCACATCTTGTGATATAGCTGGTTCTTTCATTGTTCCAAACTGTCTCCTTCCTCCCTGGATGAGGACATATCCATACCATGAGCCATGAGGACCTGAGGGCTCTCCCTAGGGGCATTTCACCACCCCATCCTTCACCTGGCCTGGCCATAACTTGATAGGGCCTATGGAAAGCGAGAGAAGGAAAAAAAAGGTGCCAGGAGGTCTAAATGGATTCCACACTTCCTCTCTCGGGTTCTCTCTTTAGTCCTCTTTCTCTTCTCTCTCTCCAGTTTCCCACCCTTGGAAGGAAGAGCATGGACCACAGAAGGGCTGTTCCTTCAACCTGGGTTTCAGAGCAGGGAGACAAATGGAGCGCCCTGGAGCTGAGTGTTTATTTACCACCTAAATTCAAATGATGGCCACTCACCCACAAGGTGACAGAGCATGGGGAGGTGATTAAGGCATAGAAATGCATTTCAGTGAATGGGATTAATGCTCTTACAAAAGAGTCCTGGGAGAGAGCCCCCTGCCCCTTTCCCCATGTGAGGACGCAGAGAGAAGGCTTTGTCTATGAGCAGGAAGTGGGTCTTGCCAGACGCAGATTCTGCCAGAGCCTTGATCTTGGATTCCCAGCCCCCAGAATGGAGAGAAATTCAATTTCTGTTGTTTCTGAGCCACCCAGTGTGTGGGATTTTTTTTCATAACCACCCAGATAGACGGAGACATTGACCCACAGCAACCACACAGCCACTGACATCCTGTGGAAGGAGGCTGCTGAGATTTGGAGAGAAAACCCACTAAAACACACCTCTGGCCTGTGTTTTTCCAGCACTCCCTTAGACCAGTGGTTCCTAACGCTCTTGAGACCAGGAAAGATTCTGAAAGCCCAGTGATTTTTATGGCCTCATTCACAGAAAAACAAAGGTAGATTTTTAAAAATTCTAATGAGAGTTCATAGAAGCATGGGAGAACTGATCATGAATTACTAAGGAGTCCAGGAACCCAAAGATTGTTCCCACTGCCCTTTTGGAGACAGGTCTAAGAATATGTAAGAATAAAATCATATCCCACCGATTAAGATCCATGCCCCAGATCAGTGCTTCTCACACTTTAGCATGTGCTGGGATCTTGCTAAATTGAAATAGGTTCTAGTTCTGCGTTTCTATCAAGTTCCTGCCTATTACCACTGGTGCTATTCCCAGGACCTGCCTTTAGGCAGCATCGCTTAAACAAAAAATACCAAAATAGATGAATCATTGCCAATAATATCCTGGAGAGGAACAAATTAAAAGCCCTCACCTCATTCACCTGCAAAAAAAAAAAAAAAGGGAAAAATTTCTAATCATATCCAATTTTACTTATGGTTGACTCAGATAGGACCTTGGTACTCTATATGTCAAGAGGAAAAAACAAAAACAAACAAAACCAGTTCTCTTTGGTCTTTGCATTGTAGGAAGCAAAACCTCAGGCCCTGAGAAAATAAAGTCCCCAGAACGACTCTGAAATTTCCACTCTTACTTTTCTCCCTTTCTCGCTGTCTGGAAGGTAACAGTGTCGTGGGAAGCCACGGGCGCTGAAACTCTTGCCAGGGTTTGGGTGTTCTGGCCCCTGCAAGCAGAAAGAAAGAAAACAAAGAGGATTTTTCAACATAATTCTGGTGAGAAAAGAGTGCAGGCTGGTACTCCTTAAATAGTGATGAAGATCTTAATGGCCATAGAGTCTAGACAGAACAGACCCCCAAAGCAGTATGAGGAATCATTAAACACACAGACTGGGCATCCTGGGTTTGGACTGAGCTGCTACCTCCCAGCTGGATGTGCTGGAGCCCAATTCTGGGGCCTTTGATCCCCATCGATTTGATAGCAATGACATGGGATACTCACCTTGTGAGGCTGTTTCGCATGTTACACACATTGGGTGCCTGGTGCATGGTAGGAGCCCAGTAAACCTAAAACATCATCCCTGTCTTCATCATCTACTGTTTTACTGCGGCCCAGAAAAGTTGAATTCTTCCATAATGTTAGCGGCTTTGCTAAAAATGAAGCCCAGTTTTTCCGAGGTCTGTGGTCTACACGTTTTAGCTCTGAACTACTCAGAACCATCAAAGTGTCTTGAGCTATGAACCCTGCAAGCAGAATTGCCTGAATGATTCCCATGGATTCTCCTTTGTCATCATGAATTTATGTTGGTTTTCTTGTTTAGCATACGGATCAGGAGACTCGGGACTAAAAATCTTCTAACGATATTTTAGCCGTGGTTGCCCAATATCCTATTTAAAGCCCAGTCTCAGGCTACTGGGTGGGGAAAAAAAAAAAAAAACTGAAGCAGGATTGAATCAGATCCAGGTGCTACAATTGTGGCTGTGGTTTGTCCCCTCTGAAACTCATGATGAAATTGCACAGTCATTGCAGCTGTGTTGGCAGATGGGGCTTTTGAGAGGCTGTTGGGTGACTAGGGAGAGGAATTAATGCCTTTCTAAAAGAACTTCTCCTTTCTCTCTAGAGGGTCTGGATTAGTACTGTGAAAGCCTGTTGCTCTAAAGCGAGGTTGCTCCTTATGGTCTCCCACTTCCACATGTCCAGCAGTCCTTCTGCTTCTGCCTTAAGTAGAAACAGCCCCTCACCAGATGCAAACAACAATCTCAGACTGGCCAGCCTCCAGAACTGTGAGCCACATGAATCTCTGTGATCTATAAATGCTCAGAACTCTGTAACAGAAAACAGACTAAGACACCAGCCTTCTTCATCAGAGGCCAGATGGGTTCATTGACCCCTTTGTGCAACTCACGAGAAGCAAGGCACTTTTTCTCAGTAGCAATGCATATATTTTCCACCCACACAAATGTTTGTGCATAATTTCGGAGCAACCCTAAACCTTGCAGGGATGGAACCCTATTTAAAAACCCCTTCCAGATACAACCAATTAAATATCAGTAGCTGGGCGTGGTGGTGCACGCTTGTCATCCCAGGGTCTCAGGAGGCTGAGGCAGGAGGATCGTGAGTTCAAAGCCAGCCTCAGCAAAAGCAAGGTGCTCAGCAACTCAATGAGACCTTGTCTGTAAAGAAAATACAAAATAGGGCAGGGGATGTGGCTCAGTGGTCGAGTGCCCCTGAGTTCAATCCCCAGTACCCCCCTCCCCCCAAAAATTGATAATTCTGTGCTGTTGTTAACAACAGCTCTCCCACAGATGATCAGCTGCATAAATGAGTGAGTGAAGGAACAAATGAGCATACAGATTTTTCATTTTGTCTCTTTATGCACAGTGATCAAAAATTCTGTTGCTTTAATTTTTCTGAAAGCACAGTACAAGATCACTTCTGATTTTGCCATCTGCAGGGTGTGAGGACTGTACTGGGGTCTGGGGAAAGGTACACTTCCCAGGGCTAAATTGTTTTTTTTGTGTGTGTGTGTTTTTTTTTTTGGTGCTGGAGACTGAACCTAGGACCTTGTGCATGCAAGGCAAGCACTCCACCAACCGAGCTATATCCCCAGCCCCAACAATGTCTTCTTGAAGATGCAGGACCTGATGGTTCCAATTCCACACTTAAAAGACATGACTACCTCACTAAGCCTGGCCGCCTGACTGAGGGGCCAAGTCCAAGCACCGGGCTGTGACTGCTCCTCCCCTTCCTGGGGCTGCTGCTTGTATGTCCAATGCAGAGTCCACCTGGCACTGACCCAGCAAGCCTGTGTGCTCTGGGCCTGTCGCCAAGCAGAGCAGTCACGACTCAGCCTCAGCCCGGCCCAGAGTTTCTCCCATGGGGAATTTTTCTCTGCAGTGAAGGTAATGCTTGAAAGTCTTGAGTCCTCACCGAGGCCCACACCGATGTGGCCCCTGAAGTCTGAAGAGACGGCACTGAGCATCCTGAGACTCTGAGACTACAGGATGGCCACCAAGACATGTATTTCTCTCGAGATGAGCTGGGGTGTGTTCCTGAAGGAGCCGGGGCTCTGCAGAGCAGCACGTGGATACCTCTAAAACCACAGTGCAAGCTCCTCCTAGCCCTAGCCCTAACCCTGACCTTGACCCTAGTCCTAACCCAGGCTGCCTGCTGTTCCTCCTGACCCCCATATTTTCATGCATGTCCTTACCACCCCGACTGGCCGGCTCAGAATCATCCCAGGAGTCACCCCCAAGCAACACCCAGCTGTTTCTCTCTTGCTCTGGCCTTTCCCTTGCTGAGGCCCCATTACAGAGCCTGGACTACTGCAGTAGTCTCCTGACGGGTCTTTGCTCTGGTTGTCCTCTGCGCTTACGTCAGACTGTCCTTCCTGAAGCACAGACTCAACCCCGTGATAGTCCAAAATCTAATCACAAACCAGCAATCTTCAGGGGCTCCCTGCAGCCTAAGAAGGAAGGTCCTCACCCTCGGCCCTAGTGCTCAGGCCTTCTGTGGCCTGGTGCCGGTCTCCAACAATGCCTGGTCTTCAACATCTCTGTCATGCTCCCTCCCGTTTTGCAAGTCTCAGGCCCCCATTCAACTCTTCCTTATTGCCTTCAACACCCCCTACTTTCTCTCCTCCACAACTGTTATACCCTCCAACTAAAAATGCTCTCCTCCATTTCTTCACATTTCCCAGGCTCCCCTAGAGAGTAACCGGCACCCGAAAGTCCCCTCTGAGCTGCAGACACACACACACACACACACACACACACAAGCCCTTGTCCTTTCCAGGATGAGTAGGATACTCAATAATAATGGCACCAGGTATTGAGCACCTTAGTATTGTGCCCTTGCCCCAGGTGCACACACAGACGTCTCTCACCTGCACAACACCTCTGCCTGTTAGGTGCCCGGCTGCACTGCTGAAGAAGCTAAGCTTGGAAAGATCAGGTGGCTGGCCCAGAGTCACCAGCAAGTAAACACTCCCACCAGGGTGCACACCTATAATCCCAGCTACTGGGGAGGCTGAGGCAGGAGGATTGCCAAGTTCCAGGCCAACCTGGACAAGTTACGGAGACCTTGTCTCAAAAACAAACACAGGAAAACCAAAACCAAAACAACAAAACAAACAAACCCAAAGGGCTATGGATGTAGCTCAACGGTAGTGTGCTGGCCTAGCGTGTAGGAGATGCTGGGTTAAATCCTCAGCACTCCCCACCCAAACACACATGTGCAACGGAGGCAAGAACCAGGCTGATCAGACTTTGAAGGACTTGCAGTTCTTTGTTCACTCTGCCTCGCACAACTTCTGTCAATGGTGCACACCCAATTTTGCTCTCTAAATTAATTGGTGGTGTTCACTTATCTTTTCCTGATGGGTTGGTAAATCCCCCAAGGAAGAACCATGTTTTACTTAATTCTTTTATAGGCTATCACATGGGCCTGGTTATTTCCCCGCGACTTATCACTATTTGGAAGCACCCGTTTGTCTGTTTGCTTTATGGTTTTCCTGGCCTCAGCAGAATGGGGACTTCAGGGAGAAAGGATCCTATCAGGGCTGCACCTGCCTTCTCTACTGCCAAGGGTATTCGTGATCCCGAATTCACATGCAGATATTTATTAAATGTAAAAAGACAAATAGGAGGGAGTAAAAGAGGTAAACTAATCAACATTTGCTAAAAGTGGATCCAGTCTGCATCCTAGAACATTTGATAAAGCTTCATTGTGGGAAGAAGGGCCACAACATTTACATCTGCCATCAGGAATGTTGTTCAGATTTGTTCCTTGGAACTGTATTTAAAAGAAACAAAGAGGAAAGAAATGCCCATTAAACTCAGAGCCAGTGGTGTAGCTATCGAATAGTGTGATCATGTAGCTATGGAATTAGAAAGGCAAGTTACTGTTTGACAAAGAAATTCCACTTCTAGAAAATTATTCGACACATAAACAGGTACAGGGCTGCACACTGGGCAAGGTTCATATGTGTACAAGTTTATTCATCCCCACGTTATTCGTTGTAGCCAAAGATTGGAAATAATCCGTATGGATTCTCATCTGATTGAGACTGTTGAATTAAATTATTTACATGGTGGATTATTGTGCAGACATAAGAAAGAAAGAGGAAGTTCTCTCTGTACTGAAAAACCTACAGACTATATTGTTCATTGAAAAAAAATGCAGAGTATGAAACAATGTCCCTAAATGTCAATCATTGTGTAAAAATGGGAGGGGCGGATACAATTTCTGTGGCCTGGGCACAGAGAATCCTGGAAGCGTACATGAGAAAGTAAGAACAATGGTAGTGGAGGGGGAGAGGAGGGGGGATTAGATCTGTAGAGGGGGAACAAGGGTGGGAAGGAGACTTTTCATAGCATAAAACACTTCGAATGCAAACATTTAAACTTAAAACTATAAAAGGCAACTGCTGAGGGTGGGCTCACCTGAATGCCCGGGGGGATGCTGTAGATAATCCGGATGGTTTTGCAGTCTGGGTGGCCAGGCAAGGAGTGGGGGATGAGGTGGTACTCCATCTTCCCTGGAGGCTGGGTGCCTGTCTTCACCCCATAAATGGTCTTACAGGTTGGGCACTGCAGACTCCCGTCCTGAGGAGACAAGGTCAAAAGAGCCAACCTGGGAAACCGTTTTGCTAATGACCTTCCCACCCAACCTCAAAGGTACCAGAGATCAAGGGCAAAGGGGGAAAAACTTGATCCAACCTCCGACCCCACACTAGACCTGAAATCCTGACTAGCTACATAAGCCACAGCTGCTATCTCCAAAGTAACAGAAAGAAAATTCTACAAATAGCTTCAGGCTCCATGCTAAGGAACATGGAAAGGCCGCCCCTGTCATTGATGAAGAGGCCAGGCAACTAGGGCAGGGAGCCCACAAAGGGAATCATCATCTAATATCTCAGCCTCACATGGATAGAACAGATAGCAAGCTCTCAAGAGCAGCGGCTTCCCAATTGATGACCACCAGGATCATTTGAAAGCTTCTTAAACATAAAGATGCTTGGACCCCACACCAGGCCCACAGTATCAGAATTGGGCGACTGCAAAGTGTAGTGGTATGGAATGGGAGCTCGCAAGTCAGACTGCCTGGATCTACTCTGCCTTCTACCTGCTGTGTGACCTTGGACAAATCAATTATCCTCTCGGAGGAGTCTCAGTTTCTTTAGAGGGCCAGAAAAATAACAGTATCTGTCTCACTGGGTTGTTAGAATACTATATGAGATCATCCATAGGACGTGTTTTGCAAGTGGCATATCTACGTGTTATCAGTCTATTCATGACTAATAAACTCAGGTTTGGAAACCACTGCTAGGAAAAGATAAATTGAGCACTGTGTTGGAGAAAATAAAGACAACTTTAAACAAATGACCCTTGAAGAATAAATAGGCTCAGAAAGACGGAGGATAAGTTCTGCATAAACAACCAGAGGAGAAAATGATGCCGTAATTGTCAGACTTTAAAATCTTACAACAGAATCTACAATGCTTGTTTCACCTCAGCCTCACCTTCTGACATTAGCTGGGGAGGAATTATAAACCCCTTTCACAGACAAAGGAGCTGAGGCACGGTAAGATTGAGGGGCTCATCAGCAGCGAGGGTCAAAACCCCTGCGAGTGCATCTAAATCACCCCCACCTCACCCCACGGCACTGCACTGCCCCCCAGTGGCTCTGCTGGTGGCACAGGGGTTTCCAGACAGACATGAAGGGGTGTGGTTTCACAGGAGAACCTGGTGAGGTGCCACCTGCTGTGGCAGGGAGGGTGGGGAACCCTGCGGGAGCCCCCACAGCAAATCCTATTTCCAGGCTCCCAAAAGGAAGGGAGAACGACGCTTGTGCTGACAGAGGACTTTCCCACAGCTGGGACCAAAGCTCTCTTCAGATGTCCCTCCCCCAACTCTTTGGGAAGAGGCCGATCCTCTGAAGAGCTATTTGGGGACATCTCCATGTAAGTTCTACTCATTTAGAGGGACAGCTCACATTGGAGTCAGCTCCTCTCTAAAGCTGGGGTCCCACTCCCCGCCGAGGCCTTAGCTTGTTTCATGGCCTCGGGGTGGGGGTGGGGGTGGGGGGGCATGGCTCCATCCTATTCAGGCCCTTTCCCCTCATGCGTCCGATAAAATGAAAACACATGCTTCCGAGTGTTAAGTGCAAAAGAGAACAAAGGAGAGCGCCTCAAGAGACATTTTTGAAACTACTGAAAAAAAAAAAAAAAAAAGCGAATAGTTACTAGACATTCTTGGGTACGGTCGGTCAACCCCAAAGGAAAGAAAGTGCTAAGAAAGCCCTTTAAACACAGAGTAACCTCTTAAAATGTGAGGCTCCAATGGAAGCTGTCAGGCCAGGGTCAGGATAGTGAACTGACTGCATCCCACACCTTGTCTGTCTGGGACGCTGAGAAAAGTCTCAAGGTTGGCACTTTGGGAACATCAACACAATAAGCTGTGTAAAGGTGAAGGGGGAATACTTTAGCCATAGTACACAAGAGGAATCCTTTTGGATAATCATAGTAATAGCACCTTACAAAGTGGTTATTGTTAGTTATATCTGCATTTTCCAGATGGAAAAGGAAATCTCAGAGAGCCTGAAAAACAAAATCTTGCCTGAGGTCATTCAGTTGCTAACCAGGACCCATCCATGCACAGGTCCATATCCTTTTACTGCCTCTGCTCTTCCCCTAGCAAGAGTGCACAGAGCAGCTTCTGAAATGCAGGTAGGTTTTGGATGAGTAAGAAGTGGGGAGATGTAAGACTCCTCAGGCCAGCCAGGGGAAGGATGTGGAGGGCCCTCATGTTCTTGGTCCTCCACAGCCTACCAGGGGCAGGGCAGCAGGCCCCCGGGGACACTGACCTTGTTCCCATTGTTGTACATGGCGACCAGGCAGTAGATGTGGTAGATGTGGCCACACCTGGACAGCTTTCCTACCAGGTCAGGCTTGACCGTGGGCTGTGGGCCCTTGTAGCCCGAGGGAGCGGTGAGGCGCTCCATGCAGATGGTGCAGTCCTGTGGTGGGGGATGAGAGGGGAAGAGCAGAGAGCACATCAGTTCTCACCAGCCTGGGCAGCCGGGGCCCCTCCGTGGGGGTTCCCGTGGGATGGCAGAGGCCGGGTGAGCTGTCACCCCTCCTCTTCTAGAAAGTTGACAAATCAGGGGTGGAAGATGTGCTTTTAGAAATCTTGCTTGACACGACAGAGAAATTCCTGAAGTAATTCCTGGTAGTGGTTAATATGTGAACTTGGGCTTGTCAATCACATTACAACCCCTGACCAAGCCCTGTCCTCCAATGGCTTGCGAACGGACACACTGACAAGCTTCGCTTACGCTGAACTTGGGTAAAGGAATCATGTTTCCCATATTCCAGAGAGGCTGTTATTTAAATAAATTTATGGCTGATTTCTCAACTTCAGCGGTGTTAACATTTGATGGAATGTTACTGTGGCTACTGTCTGCTGTGGCTACTGACCTGGGCTTGGTAGAGGGCTTAGCAGCGTCCCAGGTCTCTATCCCCTAGATACCAGGAAACACCCAAGCGGATGTCCCCTCAGGGGCAAAATCTTCTCAGTTGAGAACCACGGGTCTATGTCAATTCCATTCCAAAGTGAGTGCACGTGGCTTAGCATGCTGTTTTTCCTAAATTCCAACTGTCATGTAAAGTAGCTTAGACTCCATCAGCACTCCGCTAAAGGGGAAAGGTTAAGCTACAGCTGCAGCTCTGACCGTGAACTTGGGAGCCTGAGCTCCAGCTTGATTAGCTCTGTACCAGTCAGGGATTAGCGAGCGGCTCCTCCACATCCTGCAGAAAACTACTACAGAGGAAATGACTGTGGGTGATGGGGAAGGCGAACCGTGCCCTACTTCCCCTGCACTCACCTCCTCTGGCGGGTGCCGGACCTTCTGCAGATACTTCTTCAGCACTTCCTCTGGCGTTTTACCTGGGAGGACAAAGGGATCCCTTGGGTTAACAAGGCAGAGGGTAAGGGATCCACCAAGCCTTGCCATCCTAAGTGTGCCAGAGAGGAAAGTTATAGTCAAGTTCAAAAGCAGAAAAGGGAGCAATTTATTCTGCAATTGGCTTTAAGAATTCTAAAGGAGCCAGGCACGCTGGTGCACGCCTGTAATGCCAGTGGCCCGGGAGGCTGAGGCAGGAGGATGGCAAGTTCAAAGCCAGTTTCAGCAATTTAGCAAGGCCCCCAGCTTTAGGACAGTCCTCCTTGGTTTTGGATGATGCTGTCATGGCCAGCAGACACAGCCCAGCAGCAGGGTAGAGGGAGACTCTGGGAAGCATCCTGACAGGCTGCCATGATCCGGGGATTCCTTTTCCCCTGGAGCCTTAGGAGATCATCCAACCCGAAGGAGGTGGCCGGAATGACCCAGGCTTACAAGGAGCCACAGAGGAAGCAAGATCAGTGCCACTCTGGGCTACTTGCTTCACTTTTTTGAGCTGCTTTTTTTTTTTTTCCTATAAAAATGGGGAAGATTGATAGCACCCACCTCAAAGGGTTGCTTTGACAATTAATAGGCTCCAGGGTGAACAGCCCTTCATCACGTTGCCAGACAAGGATGCAGTGTGTGCTATTAATAATAGCAGGAAGAGTGGGAAAGTGTAAAATCCTGTCACTCCTGATCAGACCACGAGCAAGGCAATTGAGTTCATTTAGGCAGGGAAATTTTAATAGACTGGAAAAGTAGGACAAGAGTTTGAGGAAATGGATCGTGTAACAGCCCAAAGCTGAGGTGCCAGCCCTTCCCTCCACTGTCCTGCTTCTCTGGTAAGAATTAATTTTTTTTTTTCCACCCTGGGATTGAATCCAGGGTGTTTCACCCTGAGCTACATCCCCAGCCGTTTTTATTTTTTGAGACAAGGTCTCACTGAGTTCCCGGAGGGTCCTGCTAAGTGGCTGAGGCTGGCCTTGAACTTGTGATCCTCCTGTCTCAGCTTCTCAGGTTGCTGGGATTTATAGACCAAAAGGACTAAAAAGCTATGCCAGGTTCTTTTGGTGCCAGGAAGGTAGTAATATGAACCCCTTGGTAGCTGGGTTGTGGGCAGGTAGGAAGGGGATCCTGAAGGAGATTCAAGTGGCCAGAAGGTCTGGAGAATCTAGGTGGATACAAGTCCCTGGCTTTGTCCCAACCAACCCTCATGGCTACTTTCCAGGACATACGTGCTGAAAATTGGCTGTGGACATTTTTGCCCCATGATGAAGCGGAGAAAACAGGTTCCACATGATCATACAACTAGTTAGGCTGTGAATCCATTTTTGTTCTAACACTAAAGTGACCTTTCTCTTCTACCATATCTTCTCTGCGCCATACCTAATATTTTAGTTCCTGTATGTTTGCACCGCATATTTTCTATTTCCCAACGTTTTTCCATCTGCTTCGTACATAATGTACTTTAGTGTAACCATCAGAGTCTGCCAGCGAGGCCCACCTAGATACAGAAAGCCAGGCACACAGCCTTAGCTGTGCCCCTGGTCGGGGAGGGAGCCAGGGCTTCGCGGTGGGTATCCCCTTGGATCGAGCGGCTGGTACCTTTCCTGGCTTGTTTTTTGGTGGTCTTGCGGCTCGTGTTGGAAACCCCAGGAATGGACTTGATTTCGCTCTTGCTGACGGGAGGTGGGTGCAGGACCAGCTTTGGCGGCCTGGTGAGACATACAGGCAATCCAGCTGCGCTCATGAGGATCCCTGTGATTCCTGGAAGGGGCAGGGCACGGTGAGGAAGGGCTGAAGAATGAGCTCCCAGCACTCCCCGAATTCCTCTCTCCCCATCAGCTGACTCCTGCTCCCCAGCAGGGAGTTCCCATGACTCATGGATTCTCTAGTGTGCTTGGCCTTTAGCAACCTCTCCCAAACTCTCCCTGCCCTCCCAGGACAGTTCCTAAAATCCCTGTTTGCTTCTGAGAACATCCCAATCCTCTCCTCTACGCAGATGCCCACCACCTGTTTCATGGCTCCGATTTTTCGACCCCAGCAAGTCCAGCCCCGGGCAGCTCTTACCAGCCAAGGCAGGGTTGACGGGACTGGAACCATTTAAGTTTTTCACTGGGACAGTGGGGACCCTGTGGAAGGAAAAAGTAGATACATTATGGTTTTGACAAGCAGGACAAAATGGACCAGTGCGAACCCTACTGAAGGTGCCGGAGGTTCTTCACACAGCAGTGGAGGTGCTGGGCCACTCCACCACTCAGAACCCTGAAACACAGAATAGCTCAGTTTTTACTCAGGGTCAAAGTCAAAGTCCTAGCAAGGCTTACACCGCCCTGCATGATTTGCTAGCACCCTCCATTCTGTTCCTCTCTGGCTTCCTCTCATCACATGCCCCTTACTCTGCCCTTGCTGCTTCTCCTACATGCCAGAGGAAACAGCATATGCCTCCGAGCCTCTGCACATGCTGTTCCACTTGACGGAAGTGCTCTTCCACCAGCCATAGCTTCCTCCTCCACGCCCGCAGTCTCGGCTCACATTTTACCTCCTTAGTGAAGTTCCTGAACCCGTCTTATTGAATACTGTTTCCTACCCCTCCACCCCATCCTGGCACTTCCAAACCTTCTTATCCTACTGGCAAGTTTGAGACCAGCCTTTTATTCCCTGCCCCCCACTCCCCATGGAACTTATGATCTTTCAAAATAAGTTGTTGCTCCTCAGCTCCTTTCTAGAATGTAAGCAAATATCTTTGTTTTGTTCAGTGAGTCTTTGTTTTTGTTCAGTGACTGGCACCCGTAGGCCTTCAATCAATATGTGTTGAAGGGATGAAAAGATAAAGAAGCCAGTTCAGATCTCGGTGGATATAAGAGCCACCCTGAGATGCTTTCAAAAAGACGGAGAGCCCTGGGCCCAGATCCCAATCTCCACCTGTGGAGCACACGGAGCCGCCTTTTTTCCAAAGCTCCTTGAGAGGATGCAGATGTCGCCAACCCCAGGCCCAGCTTTTGGAAACCACTGTTTGAACAGCTGTCACTTCTCCTTCTCCCTGAGACATAAACATCAGGCACAACCTCCTCCCCTCTCTGTCCTTCTCTCCAGCAGCGCAAGCCAGGCTGGAGAAGAGAGGCACAGCTGCCTGGGAAAGGCCCGGCCGCCCACAGCGCTGACTAGGAAAATATGGGACACGTGGGCTGGGGCTTACGCCATCCCCTCTGCCACCCACACTCCACAGCTGGCTTGCCGAGGACAGTGGACCCCGTCAGTTGCTTCCAGGAGTAGCACAGTCTGAGAAGCCAGCAGCTCTGCTACAGGGTAGAGCGATTCTGGGCAATGGGAAGGAAAAAAGAGTATGTTTATTTATGTATTTGAAAAGTACTGATTGCACCCTACTTTGTGCCGGATACTGTGCTCCAGGCTGGGGGACACAGCAGGGAACAGGACAGCCCATGGCTTCATCTTTGTATTATGATCCCTGACATGCACAGAGCCTCCTTCTTCCAGAAACGGTTCTAACTGCTCACAACATACAAACCCATCGGTCCTTACCACAACCTGTGGAAGAGGACGGTTGTTAACCCTGTCTTACAGGCAAGGAAGCTGAGGTGCACAGGTAAGCAAACATGACCAGAGTCACTCGGCTAAACAAACCAATCGCACCCCAGAATCGGGATCCGGGGACATTCACTACTCTGAGCTCTTACATCATCCCCAACACCCAAGCACCCCATGCTGTAGGGTAACAAGGAAACCCAGTACTGGGTGGGAAGGTGGGGAGCAGAAATGGGAGTGCAGATAAGGCCTCCCCAGCTACTCAGAGCCTGCCTGGGCTGCTGTTCCCTCCCAGGAATGAAGACACATGCAGCAAAGATGGGAAGATGGGAGAGTGGGTGGGTCTCAACAGGCCACCAGAAGACACTTTCTTTGGAAACTCCCCTGAATAAAGCAAACCTGGATGTAGAGAGGAGAAAGCTGCATTTAAAACAGGTGCCAACAGGCCAAGAACAGCTGGGCTCTGGGGCCTGCCCTGCAAGGCCAGGGGTGTTATGATGGACACACAGTCAAGAAAGCTGGACTCCAGTCCCAACCCTGCCAACAGTTCCTCACAGTCAATGTGGCTGTCCTGATGTCCTTGTCTTGTAGAACAGCCAAGGTCTTTGTTTAGAGGATACCTTCTTGACAGCTCCCCACCCTGGGACCGGAGAAGGTGGCCTCCTTAGCCCTGGGTGCCCTCCCAGGGCAAAGAAGCCACTTCCTGTGGCCTGTACCTCTGCTCCCCACCAGAGGGCAGCACTTGCCACCCAAACCTGCACCTGCCCCTTTTCCTCTTGCCATCTCCAAGTCCCCCACTCCAGCTGATAAGTAGCTGGGATCTGGGTGACAAAAGCCACCTTTGTTCCCACAAACTGGACTGGCAGGTTTCCACACCCAATCTGGTCAACCAGGAAATACTCCAACCCCCGCCCCCCAGCAGCCTAAGAACTGTGGGGGTGGGGGAGAAGGTCTGGAAAGAGGAAGGGGAGAGGGCCTGAAGGTGGGACGTGAGAGACACACAGGACACTGGGGGGCCAACAGGTGGGAGAGGAGCCTGTCCTTGCTTGTTAGGAATGGGGCAACGTGGCGGGAGGGCTTGTTACAGGCTGTGGGTAGCAATGGGGCCCAGGGTAGGGTGGGGGATATTTGTTTAGGGAGCAGAGCAGGATATAAAGGAGCCCTGCACGAATGTCCATCTTAACCCAGCTCAGCTCTGATTTGCTTGTGCCTGCAGTAGAGCTGCCTCGCTTTCCTGCAGTTTCCCTGAACACATTTGAGTTACCCCAGCTGTAAATAGGGCACCCCAAATGCCTGCCCCCACTCCCCCGCCCCATCCCGCCCTGGGGGTCCCTGTGAGGATTCAGGATCTAGGTCAAATACTTTGCAAACAGCTGAGCCCTATGCAAATTTGGGTGGCTGTTTACACTTTTATGTCCAACTGTCAAAGGACCATATTGGGCTTAGTTACTGCCATTTCCTGCTTGAATGACCCACTTTCCAAGATTCTTGAGGACGGGAGACTCTAGTGTAAAGGTGCAGAGTTGAACCCTGAGCAGTTCTGGGGGTTGTTCAGTTGGCAACACCTGATCTCCCCACCCCCACGGTTCCTGATTGAAAGGAAAACTCTGGAGAACAGCCCATGTGGTCCACTCTGTTGGGGCCCCAGCAATATTCGCCTGGGCCCTCCTTCTATCAAACTGCCACCCCACAGTAGGCATGCCTGTCACATCCTCCAGGCAACTCCGCTCAGCCAAAGGCCTCTGGGCTGACTACTTTGTTGGCCGATCACCAACAAGAAGACCCCCTCCCAGTCTGTTGGGCCAGTTCCCAGTTATGGAGGGTCCAAGTTTTAATTTCCATTGATAAAATATAAAACCAAGAAAGGACAAGGGTTTGACAAGATGAGGGAGGAGGAGAGGCTGAGGCAGGGAAACTCTCCTGCAGATACCATGGTGAAAGGCAGTGTTTTTCTGAGTTATGCACCAACCCAGGAATCCTCAGGCAGGACAATGGTCTTGTCTCTAAGGCAACTGTAGCCTAGCTGGAGAGAGCAGCCCAGACAGAGGAGGAGAGGGCCAGAGGGACGGCCCTGCCTGCCACCACACAGCCCCCCCACCCTTTAGAAACCCCCTGCTTGTGTCTCTGAATAATTCACAGAATCTTTTGTCCCCCCCACCCCACCCAACCCCTGTCTTCATCCCACTTCTCCCGCCCTCCCTCGTCTTCCCTTTTTTCCGTGGGAAAGTTGCTCGAAGAGGTCATGGGCAGAAAGAGGAGGGGGCGGGGCCACACGACAGAAGGTGGATGGCAATCTCAGACAAAGGGAATAAACACGCTCATTAAATGACCAAGAAAGGCAGGAGCAGAGGATGGCAGTGGGGTGAGAGAGGTGGTAGGAGGTGAAAAGGAAAGTGCTGGAATATAGACAGGGGTAGGCAGGAGAATAGAACAGAATGAGAAACAGCTCATTTCTATAGCCCTGTGGAAACTGCACCGTGCGGACCTCCACCCCATTCTCCAGGTCGGATACTAGTGACAGGCAGAGGGAATAAAGACTGGAGATAAAGTGCTACCGACTCCCTCATCAAGATTCAAAGCAACTGGGGGGTCTCTCCCTCAATAATGGCATGAGGTCACTTGGCCCTTGTCAACAGTGCCAGAGAGGAGGAGGCAGGATAGACCTGCTCAGCTTTGACTTGATTTCAGCAACTCCACAGTATATATTCAGTAGATACCTGCTAGTAATCACGATAGCAGCTCACGGTGACTCAACTGAGCATGTGTCAAACATTCCGCTAAGTCTACACAATGAACGTCTCAATAGACCCTCATGAGAACTCTGAAGGGAAGGTAACATTACCACTCCATTTGACAGATAAGAACACTCAAGACAAAGAATGAAGAACTTGCCCCAGGTGGCACAACTAGGAAACTGCTCTCAAATCCCAGTCGTGAGGTTTTGGAGGCCATGTTCTTATCTAGTGCAGGAACCTCCCTTGAAAGCCAGCGATCACCCTGGAGCTCTGTTAGAGGACCCCAGAATGCTGCTGCAGGACAGCGTGGAGAAGCCAAACTCGGCATGGTTTCGGTGCCTATTTCCCTCTCCAAATATTCCACCAGTTAAGAGTATGTCATGAAAATCTCCTGTATCTGGCTTGCATGTTGCCAGTTAAGAATTGCTTTGCCTTTAATGAGGAGCTGGGCTTTAGCCAAAACAAAAGTGGACCAGGACACTGAATCCTGGGTTCCAAACCTTCCTTTTAACACCCAAGCTGAGCTGTGAGAACCTCCTGGAGAGTTCATTCTACCTGTGCCTAACACTTGTATTGGAGTAAAAGAATGAGATACTGCTGAAGAGCGCATCTGATGAACTCCTGTGGAGGTTTTCACAATGATTCCATGGTAGATAAGGCAAATTCAGTGTCAAACAATGATATTGGACCTTGCAAACTTCTGTGGCTTAATCCAAATGGCAGAGGCAGGAGTAGAGGCCAGGCCTCCAAATCCCAGCCTGATCCTCCTGGCACACTGCAGTGTATGCTCCCTCCCTTTCTCCTCCCAGTGCTAAGCCACTGTGTGCAGAGAAACAGCACAGTGTTGATGGTGCCTCCTCAGGGCAACCTGGACTTTCAGACTCGGGCATCCAATGCAATCCTAAAACCATCCTGACCATCTGGTGCACGGGGCCTGCTGGCAGAGCCAGGTCTCTCTGGAGAAAGGGAAGATTGGTTGGGTGTAGGAGGCTGACCAGAAACCAGGGGCTGGCAGGCTCAGGCTGCAGATGTTGCTCATGGACTTGGGTTACTCCCATTTTATGATCAAGAAGATCAAGAATATAAAAGGCCAACTTAACAGAACCCACAGCATTACCACATTGCTGCTGGAATACCTGAGACAATAAACAGCAAGAAAAAACATGCATTTGGCACCTACTGCATGCCAGCACCATGGTACATGCTTGTCAGGGTGGCAGCACTATGGAGTCAGAATCTGGCTCCAGCGTCAAGGTTTCTAAAGTCTGAATCTCAGAACCTACCAACCTAGCTATGTGCGCTTGAGCAAGTAAACTTTGATTTTCTTCACCTGTACAAAGGGAAAATCATGCCTATCTCATAGAGTTGTTGTAAGGATTAAATGAGAGGAGAAAACCCCCAAACCAGAACATGGTGGGAGCTCAGTTCCTGCTGCTCATTATGACTTGATATAAACTTTTTTAATCCTCACAGTGACTTTAATGTGAATAGGATTGCCAGAATTTACAAATGAAGAAATTAGGGCTCTAAATTAGAGATCTTACCCCAAAGCACACACAAGGGAAAGGCAAAGTCCCACCTAGAATCCAGATTTGTTGGACCACAAACTGCTAAGCCTCCCTCCCCCATACTATGTGGCCTTCACCTGCAGCCTGGGTCAGCACAAGATGAGCAGAGCCAAGGTCTCGGCAGTCCCTCTTAACACTGACCCACAAGGCCAGTCATGGGTTCTGCCTGAGATGAATAAATGCCCTGAGCAGCCTTGGAAGCACCTACCCGGAGGCGATCAGCACCCGGGACTGGGCGATGGCCAGTCGCTGCAGGTTGGTTCGATTCAAGGTAGCCAGGGCCACCCTCCCGGTCTTGCTGTTGGCTCCTGGGGGGCTGGCAGGAGAGCCTGCAGTTGCCCCAGCTGGTGTGCCAGAGGCTTGTCGCCGGATCGTCTGCGATGGGGCGGTCTTCACTGGGCCTCGAATGGTGCCGGTACTGTCCAGTGGCTTGGCCCCAGGGCCTGGTGGTGGGGGCAGCTTGACCATTCCAGAGGGGGGCACATTCTTGCGGGTGGCTGTGGGCTGCAGGGGCCCGTGGCTCCCGTTGACCACGGCCGCCTTGACGCTCATCACCAAGACACACTGCGGACAGGAGCAGGGTGGTGCCGGGGGCGAGGTGGCCGTCCCAGGGCTGGCCGGCCAGGACTGAGTCTTCGGCAGGGTGCCGGTGACCATAGGGTAGATGAGGTCGAGACGTCGGCGGACCCGGCGCTGGCGCTGGGTCTGCCGGTTGATCTGGCCCATGGTGCTGAAGTCAATGACGTAGCTGAAGCCGATGGACGTGAGGTCGATCCAGGGGTGCTGCTTCTCGTAGGCGTGCTGGATGGTGATGCCCACCTCCATGTCATAGGGCGTCCAGGAACCGTTGTCATTCTCCCACTCCCACACCACGCCCTTCCCGGGGGCTGAGGATGGGTCGTAGTAGTGGCGGCGAACTGGGCGGAGGGTCCCTGCCAGAGGAGGACAGAGGAGAGCTCAGGGTCAGCGTGGACTGCACGGAACTGCATCCCGTTAACATGCAAACGTCAGAGGAGCCCCGTGTGCTCTGCGGTACTCGGAGGTGGCAGCTCTGAAGGAGAGCATCCATTCCTGCCTTTGAGGCGTCTGCTGTCAAAGCCGGGCAGAAGCAAGAAGGAACAGCAAGGAGACCCGGGGCAGAGCGCAATGGCAGAAAGGGGGCCTCCTGGATGGGATAGCACCCAAACAATTTAGGGCTGGGATGGGGCTCCGTGGTAGCATGTGGCAAGGACTTGAGTTTAATCCCCAGTGTTAATAAATAAATAAATAAAATTTAAAGGAATTTTTTTTTAAAAAAATTCACTTACTAGCTAATATGGAACTCTTCAACCAACCCTTCTCTCCTGAGACGGTATAACCCCTTCATCTGCTTTTTGTAAAAATTAGACGTGACTCATTTATTCATTGGGTAAGTGTATGTTTGTGCATGCCAGATACTGGATTTCATATTGCAGGTAGGGATATAATGTCCTTGAAACACAGTCGGTCCTTTTAACTCTCGTATCTTGACTATCATATTCTTTCTTCTCTGTTGCCCTATGCCAAAGACTATGCAGAAAACCAACCCAGGACACCTACAGGATGGAGGAACAATTTTGCTTCCACTCAAGGACTATTCAGAGGCAGAGGTGATGGAGCTTGCAGTAGCTCTTTATAGGTGCCGTTAAAACACGAAATAGTGCTGAAGTCAATGACGTAGCTGAAGCCTACAGTAACCTGTGAGAGAACTCTTAAGTATTTCCCAACACTAAATCTTATATCAACAACAAAAACATTCTCCATGGGCCTGAAGGATAATTTTACAATTATCTAATGTCTTTCCTTCAGAAACATCCAACCCTTCTAAAGATAGCATTTTAATGTTGACAGTCTCATAGTGGGGGCAGGGAAGAGGTCAGGGTTATTACAGGGTAAAGGTATAAACAGAAACAAATCGGCAGGATTGGAAGGGAACAAGGCTTGGAAGGGAACTATTGTCCTTTTCCCCACTACCCACCCCAATCCTAAATCCAGATCCATTCCAACCAGGGCTCATTTCATGGTATCAACATCAAGGGTAAAGACGCCTGTCTCTAGGCAGGACCAGGAGGCTGGGGAGTGCTCCAAAGATGCTGGAATGTCTGCATCTGTCAGCTTAAGCTCTATCCATCAAAGTGGTGGGAAAAGGCTCCCCTCGTTGGCCTCTGACCCACTCCCTCCTCCAACCCAGAGGGAGACACCAAGAATGGGGACAGAATCCCATTCAAGGGGGGAAGAAAAGGAACAATGACCATTCAGGACTTTGCCAGGGTCATAACCTGCCCCCCACCCCATCCCCAAGCCCCTTAATGACCCAAAACATCAACATTCAGAGGCACAAGGGAGAAGCAGAACAATCCCCTATTCAGCACCAGGGCCTCTGCTGGGGGATGTAGGGACGGACATCAGGATGGGGTGTGGGGGTGGCAGGAGTTCCCTAGTTAGCCTCCATTTCCTTCCTAATAACCAACTTGCTGAAGAACAAAGAATGTGGTTTTAGGTAGAGCAGGAGAGATTCTTCCAGCTGTGTGATAAACCTCGGCTTCCTCATCTGGGTCCTGGGCAGCTACTTCAACAGGTGGATGTGAAGATTAAACGAAGGAACGAATATCAAGCAGCAAGAACTCCATAAAACAGGGATTATCATTGGAATTGACTTTCTATTGTATGTCCAAGCAGGATGGAAGTTATGGGGAATCCTTAGTTCAGGGATGCAGTCAGCGAGTGTGTGTGTGTGTGTGTGTGTGTGTGTGTGTGTGTGTGTGTTAAAGAGAGAGAGAGAGGGAAAGAGAGAAAGGGACCAGAATTTTCTATTTGGCTCATATTTGCACAAACTTTATTACTTAGAAAGCACCTCATATATGCCAGCCCATAAAATTCTCATGGCAATCCTATAAAACACCTTTTGCAGATGAGGAAATTAAGTTTTTGGAGTTTACACAGCACTCTTTTATAGTCTCTGCAGGGTAGTAAGAACAATGCACTTGAGCAATTCTCACGAATGTGGGCTGTTTTTTTTTTTTTTTCTTGACAATACTGTTGACCTGGAGATGCCTGAGATTTATACCAGGACTTCTGAAGACCATGCCAGGGCTCTGTTTTCCAAGTTCATCTTCTTCTATCCCTGTATTGTCCTCTACTCCTGTCAAATAGAGGCTGCCTCTATCCTCTCGCATTCCCTCGGGGTTCTCTGACTCCCTACCGCATCGTTCACAGGGCCCTTCTACCAGAAACGTCCTCTTTTGCCCTTTTTAATCTACTGAAATCTTCCTTATCCTTCAGGTCCTCTGTCACTTGCCACCCAATTCTTGAGATGTTCTCCCACCCTGGGCCCCCCCACCCCAGGAAGTCTGAAGCCGCATATCTTGACTGGGCCTGCTGAGCACAGGTGTCTTCACACTTTGCATAGGTGTCCAGAGTCAAGGAAGGGACATCCTGCGCAGCTGTCTGCATTCCAGTGCCTGAGGCAGTGTCTGAGTTACAAGGGCTCCACACACTGTGCTGTGGCTGATTGAAGACCCCTGATCTGCAGTGACATTTAATCATTGATCACATATTGCTGAGCATCCCCCATTCGTTTCTATGGAGAATGCAAAGATTCAAGTATTCTTCAAGCAGTGCACAGCCTAAGACAGCATTAGAAGACAAAGTACAAAATATACCACATGAAGAATGCCAACAAAATGCATGGTGAATCTAGCCACATCTCCTCCCTGCTTAAATCTCTCTGTAATGTCTCCTTAGGTAGAGACCAAATCCCCACCCCCACCCCCCAGCCTCTGCAGCCACCTCACACCCTAACCTCTTCTGTTCACTTTTCCTTGCACTGGCCTTCAAACTCTCCCACTGTTATGCTTCTCTGATTCTGCCTCTTCACAATGCTGGGTTTTCCCTCCTAAAAATATTTTCTTTATTGCTCATCCTTCAGATTAAAGATCATTTCCCAGGAATTCATTCTGGGCTGCCCTGACCAGATCAAGTTACTGTTCCTATTTTTTTTTTTCAAAGTCTTATCTCAATGTGCAGTTACACATTTATTTGTTGCTAGTTTGATGAGTACCTCTCTCCCTCCCTCAAGTCCCAATCCTGTGATGGTGGGCATCATGGTGTTCACTCCTACGTCTATCTCACATGCCTTGCATGTCCCAGGGGTTCAATAAATATTGCGTGGATAAATGAGGTAATGTTGGAATGGAAAATATTTGAAGAAATGGATGAAAAGTGGCATAGGACTTGAGTGATACGGAGAATTTCAATGGGCAAAAATGCTAAGGGACAGCATTTCAGTAGACAGGACCTTACGAATAGTTGTGGGGAGGGGAAAAGGATGGAGAACTCTTGAGAAAATATAAGACATAGAAGAAGATAATCCTGGACAGGATGTCAGAGCCAGGGCACAGGAAGTCTGGATCATCAAACTGCAATGGATTTAATTTGGAGGCAATGAGGAGTCAAGTTCGTTAAACAGAAGTGGAAAGACCAGAGCTGCTCTATTAATTAGTTCCAAGTGAGTAGAGGCGTGGTGGGGAAATGAAGAAGAGATGACAGACGAAAAAAGACCCTACAAAGAGAAATGGGTAGGAACTGACCATGAGTAGCTGAAAGCTTTCCAAGTGAGGATCCAGGACCGCTACTTCGTAATTGCCAGGTATCCAGTTAAGCAATACCCTCAAGACTAAAGGGCAATATCACCTGTGCCTGGACCTGGGCACCTGAGCTTTCATCATGCACACTAAAGTTTCAACTGTTAGGTCACGTGTTTGCAAAGCTTAGGTACCTAAGAAGCTCTGAATGGTAGAATGAGCCAAAGAATCCTGGGGTTCTGACGGTGGCAAAGTAGCAAAATGGTGGTGCCATTAACAGGCAGAGGAGTGTCAAGAAGAGCTGGTTTCTGGGGCTGGGGTTATGGCTCAGCGGTAGAGCATGCACCTTGCATGTGTAAGGACCTGGGTTCAATCCTCAGCACCACATAAAAATAAATAAAGTTATTGTGTACAATTACCAAAAAAAAAATATATTAAAAAAATCAAAGAGAAGAAGAGCTTGTTTCTGGACAGAAAGTTACAGAGTTCAGTTGCTCCTTAGAGGGTAGTTAGAGATAGTAAGCAACTGGGGCTGGAGTTGTGGCTCGGCGGCACAGTGATCGTCTAGCATGGACAAGGCCCTGGGTTCGATCCTCAGCACCACATAAAAATAAAATAAAGGTACTGTGTCCAACTAAAGTAAAATTTTTTTTTTTTAAAAAGAGATAGTAAACAACCTCTGAACCAAAGACTTGAGACAAGAGAGATGGTGGAATTTCACTCTCTGATTATTTTCAGAGACTGCCCCATTTGAAATATACTAACCTTGAGTTTTTCTAGAAATGAGGTTTTAAACTAGATAGTCTAAAGAAGTTCTACCTTGTTCTAGGTACAGTCAACCAAGTAAAAGACCTCTAAGCAGATAGGAATAGAGAATGTTCAGAAACTAAGGAAGAAGAAAGACAAAGAAAACCAGCCCTCCCTCACCACTCAGACACCAGCATCTCAAAGCATCCGAGATGTTTCGGCTCTGGGGAAATAGGAGGCAATGCCTTCCAGGCATGAGCTGACATGTCTAGGGCATGTCACACACATGTATGGAAGTGATTCACTGCTGATAGAGCAGGCACTTCAGGTGTTTCTTACCAGCACTGCCCCACCCTCTCCAGAATGTTCCATGAGGATGAAGTCTTGGATGTCCCATTATTGCTGTATCTTGCACACCTGGAACAGTGCTAATACAAAGTAATTGATCCATAACTGTTCACAGGAGAAAGGAGTGGGGCATGGGGCACTTGATTCAGAATCTAAGCTCTGCCACTGCCTAAACCCTTGAGAAACTGAAACTGTTTCAACCTGTTTCCTTTCCTCTACATTGGGAAGAGCAGTGTTTAAAAGACTGTTGTAAGGATCAGAAGAGGTGACGTGGGCAGCATGCCTGGCACGGTGTCGACACAGCGTGCATCCTCTCTACTGTAGTGACCATGGGTCACTATAATGACTGCCTCCTTCACTGCAGTGCTCACACCAGGGAGGGAGTATGGGGCAGGGAGTCTAAAAAAATCAGCATCTGTCAAATCCTGTAGTCAAACCCACCTGCTCTTCCTGACCCTTCTTGCCACATTAAAGACATAAAGAAGACAAAAATGCACAGAAAACTCCAAACTGTTACGAATCCTCCCTTGCACCACGCCACATCCCGTTAGCCCCATCCTCCTTCCAATCTGCATGTAGGGAGGAAGGAAGGATCTTAAGGCTACTCTTCACTCTACAGGGGAAAAGGAGAGGGGAGCAGTCAGGAGACTTGCTCAAGGTCACACAGTAGGCAGTGAGTCTGGAATGAGCCTGAGTCATGCCTTCTCACTCCCAGCCTGGGTTTTTCTCATCCTGCTGCTGGAACCCTGGAGAGGACAACTAGGTGTGTTAGGGCAGAGAGGTTAAGTGACGGTGAAGTCAAGCTCTCCGGTCACTCTGGTCACCACCCTACAAGGGAAAAATGGCAGCCCAGTCAAGGTAAATTACTTGTGGTGGAGAGGACTCCACAAAGGCTTTCAGAAGCAGCCAAGAACAGTCCCTCTATCTAACTGAATCTCTTCCCTTCTTCTAGATACTTCAGCGCAAAGTGACTAGAGGAGACCTGCCTAGAATGCAAATGAGCTCAAACCCTCAGGAGGTCTGGGGAAGGAGAAGGGCCCAGGGCAAACAGAGGCGGGCAGACGGTGTCTGCAACCTCCCAGCCATCTCCTTGGAGACTCCGCTGGATGAGGTGAGGAGCCCAGCAGAGTGGAGAGACTTGCTGAGGAGCCAGGCAAGCAACTGCTAAAAAGACAATGTTCTCAGTCAGGAAAGGTCCCTCCGTAGAGAAGGCAACCAAAGAAAGAAAGAGAAAAAAGAGGAATTGCCTCTAGGCAGGGAACTTCCAGGTCTTTTGTTTATAGGGATATTTCTGGTTCCCAGCTTTACATTGTGGCTTGGGGATGGTGGGTGATTTAATTGAACATTGCCAGGGCTTGGCTGAGGTTGCCTGGGAGCTGGTGGCTTAGAGCTCCTACCGTATCATGGTCTCATCCATGTGAGATATTGAAAGGAATTATGTGTGTGTTGGGGAAGGGAGAAGAAGGGGAGTTCAGAGCCCAGAGATTCTATTCTAACTTTGACAAGCTCCCCGACAGACCCAACATTCCTGGGAATCCAGCCCAGGGCCTTCAGCACCCAGCACAGGGCTTGGCACAGAGAGGTGTTCAGGAAGGTTGACCATCTGACTGAGTGAGTGGGAGAAAAAAAAAAAAGCAGTCTGAATATAAAATGCACACAGAGGCAGGCTTTAAAATGATCCAGGGCCAGTTCTCTGCCTCAGATCTAACACTCAAGAGCTCCCAGACTCTACCTAAACTGCCGGTCACCAGGCAGCAGTCAACCTGTCCTCAGACAGAGGAATCAGTCCCTGGGAAGTAGCTTTTTATCAGCCCAGGTTTCTGTACAACTTCACTGGTGTCAAAAGCATCCTTTAGGTCGTGACCCCTCCTAGGTATCCGCAAACACACATTAAACCTCTCTTACCAAAAATGGGAGAGGGGCGGATACCTGTATGTCACCAGGGTGGTTCTCTATACACTTCAGAGATTGAGTCTGAAATAGAAAAAAAAAAAAAAAACTAATCCCTGCTTTTATTTATTTTTGAGCAGGTCTGGAATCCCATTGTGTGGTCCATGCTCCCACCTCCAGGGCTCAGCTCTCCACTTGACAGCTAGAATCCCTCTCCTCTCCTCAATCGGAGGCCTTCACCCTCACCTCCAGGGCCCCTGCACACAGAGTAGCACAATGACCCGGCTCTTCCTCCCTCTCACACATTTAATCCTCTTTCTCCATCTCCCCACATTCCTCCTATTCTCCCCTCCTCCCAGGCTCTCCCAGCTCCACCTCCCTCCCTTCCCCACCAAGATTTAGGCCAGCCAGATGCTAAAACTTCTGGAATCCTTTCCCCAGAAAACTTTCCTCAATAGGCCAGTGTTTGCAGAGTCTTGGCAAAGAGATTGCTGGGAGTTATGACGAAAGATGGGGACACAGGGAGGGAAGACACCCCTTTCCCATGACAATCCTAATTAGCACACAGGATGTGGGGGCTTTCCAAGGAAGCAGAGATGCCCTGCTCCAGCAGCTGTTCTCTGAGCCGGCAGAACCCTCCCTGGTGATTTTCTCTGCTCCCTCCCCACCACACCTGTTTCTCCAGGCTCCTTGGTTACACTCTTGGGAAAGCCCAGCCAGAATTCCAGAAACATCCCCTCCCCCACCCTTGTCCCTGAAGAGATTACTGTGGAGACACACAGAGACTTGTTCCAGGTCATCAATTCGGGCTGGTTGCACTGGACCAAGTGAAGAGGCTTAGCCAGGATCTCTGCTTCCCTACGGTGTTCCCCACCCTCCCCCTAACCTCTATTTCCAGGAACCCTTCCTGGCTCCCAGAGGGCAAGAATGGTGAGCCGGGAAGTAGGGTTGTGGTGGCCTTAATGGCAACTTGATTCTCATGGAAAGATAGGAGTTTGCACTCTGGGAGGCCAGGGTGTCCATCATAGGATACCCAGGGTACAGTTCAGTCAGAAGCCTAAGGACAGTTTTTTCTTAGGAATGGGCCTCCTCCTCCTCCTCCTCCTCCTCCAGGGACAAAGAGAGAGGCTTCCCTGCCAGGCATTCCGTAGCCCCATCCCTCCCCCTCCTCTCCATCTGCTCTGGCCTGTTGCTTCAGTGTTTGGAGTGCACCAGCAGAGGTATTCCGGAATGCCACAGCATCCAGGGGGTTCCATCCCCGGGATCCCCCCAATTCCTTTCTCTCCTCCCAGAGAGGGCCCGCAGGCTTTCCCGCAGCTGCAACCTCCAGGGGATCTCTTCTTCTAGTGGATCCCTTCTTCCTCCCCCAGCGCCCACACCCAGGACCCACCTGGGGGATCCCTTCTTCTTCTTCCCCAGCGTCCCCACCCAGGACAGAAGAGACACTAAAGTTGGGGGCGGGGAGAATATGTGGCAGGCCCCAGAGTGCTGAGGGCAAAGCCGGGTCAGCCAAGAGGTGCAAGTGGCTGGGATAGCTTATGGGCTGAGAAGGCCTCAGAATTTCTACAAGGAAGGACTCAGGGAGACTAAGGGCTGAAAAGGGGGCGTGAAGGGGGAGGGTTCTTACGGGCTAGGCTGAAGCAAGGTTTGCATAACCAGTAGTTAAAATTACTTGCATGGATGTGTATTTGGTGATGACGGTGGGATACTAAGAGGATCAAGAGGAATAAAGCACCAACACCTCTTGGTGACACTACTGCACGAAAGTGCCACTGTGTGGACGAAGGTGGGTGCACGAGGCGGGAGTTCCCGGGTCCCAAAGGGTGGTGGGCGGCTCACCCGTGTCTTGGCGGAACTGGTTCATGGACTGCAGATCGATGATGTAGGGCGCTAGACGGCTGTCCACCTGGCCCAGCACCACGCTGCCCCCGGCGCGGGGACCGGCACGGACCACCGCCTCGATGTGGTGGCTCACCGCCGGGCTGTAGGGACGCCAGCGGCCGTGCTCGTTCAGCCATTCCCAGACCACCACTGCCGAGGCCAGG